ATAATTTTATATTTTAATTACCTTTAATATTTTGTTATTTCTGTTAACAATAACATAATTCTTTGAGAAGAAAACGCGTTGAGAATTAAATAATAAAATTATTACCAACTGCTGTGTAACCCGGATATAAGAGAGTTGTCGGGACCGGAGAAGAAGTCTCTTATATCCGGGTTTCTCTTATATCTGGGTTTGGTCTATTTTGTTTAGGTAAGTATGGGCTCTAATTTGGGACCAGAGAAAATCTCTCTGATATCCGGGTTACAGTGTATAAACAGACACCTAAAACATTACATTACATTACCATCTTTCTTTGAATCCATTCTTAAAGAATCTAATTTATATTTATCCAATACAAAGAATACATGCTTAAAGAGATCAGTCATAAATTAAAATGATGTGACACTGTATGTTGGCTGATCACAGGAAGGTAAATATATCAGAACTCCCACTAGACAAACACACATGCACAATTATGAATACACATTGTCATTCAATGCCCACTAAGACATACAAGAATCTTCACAAACTTACATACACATAGATTTATCTACACTTTTATTGTTTGGGAGATGTTACTGACAAATGACATAATTGAAATTACCAGTGTTTCTGTTGTTTTGCCTGCTTTCTCACAAACTCTGATGAAGCTTTAACAAAATTGAAACAGACCTTTATTCTATCATCTATATATATATACATATATATATATATATATATATATATATAGTCATCCACAGACAGACTGTTTCACTGTATCACAGCTTGTCAGTGTGGCTAGATGTCAGATTGCTTCAAGCTGGGATCAAAACCTGACTGATTTGATATCAGTCATATATCTTACCTCTAGGCCATCATTGCATGCCATTTTTCTCTATACAAAATACACTAGTGGCTCTGAGAACTCAATTTATATTGGAAGAGTAATGCTTAATAGCATGTCATCCACAGACAGAATGTTTCACTGTATCACAGCTCCTCAGTGTGGCTGTCATCCTCAGACAGAATATTTCGCTGTATCACAGCTCTTCAGTCTGGCTAGATGTCTGATTGCTTTAAGCCAGGATTAAAACCCAACTGATTTGACATCAGTCAGATATCTTATCCTTAGGTCATCATTGCATGGCAGAAAGGAAGGGAATTTTAACATTTTCCTCTATACAAAATATGCCAGCAGCTCAGAGAACTCAATATATATATTATATCATATATATAAAAAAAATTAGATGCCCATTAAAGAATTGTATTCCTGACCAATCAAAATTCGTAAATAATTATATAGGCCATACTACAACATACTTGACATTAAGACTCACTCTACACCTTTCTGACCATAGCTCAATTAGATCTCATTTAAATATTCATGGAGACCTATCAGACACTATTTGTAACATACTTGTTGACAACACTAATATAATAGCATTATTTACTTGCAAAATAAGGCTAAAAATAATGGAAGCCTTATTAATAAAAACAAAAAAAAAACAACACTTAATAATATTAACTTTGAACATGGACACATCTTGACTGTGTTTTGAAAAATGAAAACATTTTATAAATACATACAACAAACTATTTCTTATTTAACAGTTAAAATATTTAATTCTTGAAAATGGCTAAATGTATAGCCGAAAGCACTTGGATAAAAAGAACATTCAGACAGTTTTTATATAATTTATTATCCGAAAAGAAAAAATTATTAGATCACATGGGAAATTGCATAAAAAACTAAATCAAAGCACCTTGTCTGTCGTATCCAATGAAATGTGCATATATATATATATATATATATATATATATATATATATATATATATATATATGTTCATGGTGTCTAGCTGTTTTGCATTGAGCAATCATCTGAAAATTGTTTAACCTATATATGTATTGACAAAAGTATTCTTTCAATATAAAAACAAGTGTTATTTTAATATATGTATATAATAATTATGAACTACAATTTTTGAAATTTAAAATTTCATTGAAGTATGTTGAAAAATTTCAAAATTTTCATTTGAAATCAAGAAAATATGAATATTTAAGCCCAATGATCAAAATATATGAAAAATGTATGTCTTTCATGCCAAATAGATATGTTTTCCAGTGGCATTACCATTTTTCTTACAATAGTTTGTTCCTCACAAAAGAAATGGTCATAAAAAGATTTCCTAGACAACACCACATATTTTTAGAATGTCATAATTTTTTGAGATAATGATGATTTACTGATACAAGTCTTATTAATTAACCCATAGCTTGGAGGAGAAGAGATATATTCATATCTTTCCAAGGCTATTTGCACATAAATGAATATAACAAACCTGACTGAAATTGGAACTTGGTCCTCTGATGTCCAATTAAGGCCATTATCCATTCCCACCAACACATCCAAACTTACATGGTATTCCCATGTGGTCACCCATCCAGGTACTGACTAGGCTTGACATTGTTTAACTTTGCTGATTGAATGAGGGAACCAGTGTTTAAATTTGGTATAGCCATAAGCCTATTAATGTGTGGAATATTTTATGCAAAATGTAATGTGGCAACAGTTTTATGAATTTTACTAATGTCTCCAGGTTTTCTCCATTTTTTGTCATTATTTGAACGGTGTTTGAAAACAATTATTCAAAAAAAATATTATTCGAATTGTAAATTATTTGAATGAAAATTAATCGAGAGGATAATTATACTAAATGATAATTATTCAAAATGCAAAATTATTTTTTGCAATAAAAATGTAAAAATTAAAAGAGGAAATACACAAATGATAATTACTCAAAATACAAATATCATTAATAAAACAATTTGGTAAGAAAAAATCCTTATAACCTTAAGTTATATGATACTGCATGCAAATAGTCAACTTCTGAAAAGTACTCATTAAAGAATGTCACTAATTCTTTAAGTTTTCCATTTATGTTGTGGTATTTGTTGGCACACTTGATATTTTTGCAACCTGCTTTTATTTTTGCAATATATATTTCTTGCAAGTTCTATTCACTTTTAAGAGCATCTAAGAATTTCCATATTGTGGAATGATGGGATTACAATTTTTTTTTTTTTTTAATCAGTATCATGGCAGTAAAGCAAAGGGTTACACGGTAGGGGAGAATTAAGAACAGAAACATTGGTAATAAAGAGAAAGAGAAAAGAGCAATCAGGAGGACAGTAGATAGTGCATTTAAATTTTTGTAGTTTAAAGTTAGTTGGAAACATGGAGCCAGGAGGGAGTTCCACAAGTGAGAAGTGCAAGAAAAGAAACTGTTAGCATAGAATTTACAGTTACATCTCACCAACTCAACTGTAAAAATTGATGAGATCTTGGGAAAGAATTCATATTAAGTAATGACTTAGTATAAATTCTGATGTCTACTACTAACTAAAATTTGGGCTGGTAAAACTTAATTTTTCAGCATTGATAAATAACAGTGGATAAGCATATCTATCTATCTATCTATCTATCTATCTATATATATATATATATATATATATATATATATATATATATATATATGTGTGTGTGTGTGTGTGTGTGTATTTATGGATCTATATGTGTATATGTATATACATATATTTAAAATTTGTGTATTTAGGCAGCAATCCTTCTTTCATGTACATTTCATTGAATACGACAGACAAGGTGTTTTTATTGAGTTTTTTATACAATTTCTCATGCGATCTAATAATTTTTTTCTTTTACATGATAAATTATATAAAAACTGTCTGAATGTTCTTTGTATCCGAGCACTTTTGGCTATACATTAAGCCATTTTCTAGGATTAAATATTTTAACTGTTGAATAAGAAATAGTTTGTTGTATGTATGTTTTATAAAATGTTTTCATTTTTCAAAACACGGTTAAGATATTGTGTCCATGTTCAAAGTTAATATTATCAAGTGTTGTTTTTTTTGTTTTTATTAATAAGGCTTCCATTATTTTTAGCCTTTTTTTGCATGTAGATGATGCTGTTATATTAGTGTTGTCAACAAGTATGTTACGAATTATATAAAAACTAAATAAAAGCATCTTGTCTGTCATATTCAATGAAATATACATATATGTGTATGCTGATTCCTTATTATAAGACAGTGTGTATGTATGGGGGAGTGGATTTACATATGCACGCTAACTGGGATAGGAAAATAACTGTCATCAACACATCTATCATGACCAACTCTCATATCAAACCTAATGGTTTTATTAACACTTAGGCAGAAATTCACTTTTGCCAACAGTCCAGAAAGGAGTTCAAGGCTCACTAACAAATACAGAAAATAAACAATGAGACATTAAAAGAAAATAAGGAAAATTTATTCCTTTTAAAAATTTATTTCTCTCTTTTTTAAAATTATATACAGTAAAATGAAATTAATATGAAAAGCTAGAAGATGTAAGCCACTGAATGACCCATGTCCTTTGTACTTATATGAGAAACAATATATTACTAGGTTTATATAAAAAATAAAAGTTTATTAAATCAGTGAAATTAATTAGCTATTTTTGCCGTCATTGACATAAATTTTACTTAAATAATATTTAAATATAATTAAAAAAAAAAAAATTACCTAATAATAATACTTATACTTGATGTGAAAATAATTCTACATAATCTAAGGGATTCTAATACATTTACTTGTTCTTAAAAGAAATATAGTATATTAAAAGTTAAAAGTGAAAATATTTTTCAAATTATAGTTAAATAAAACGTATTCTAACCTAAGCCCCCCCGCAAATCTTTAAATATACAAATAGGAAAAATGGCGTAAGAATTTTTGCCGTTAACAATAAAATTAAAAAAAAAATCCAGACGACATGCATTTAACGGATGTCAGATTTCATTGAAAAATACATCCCTACCCCTACCAAAACGTAACTAATAGCTGATACATCAAAATAAAGCCATAATGAACATGCAGACACCCCTTGTCTGGTTGAAGTGGTATCCTTGGAAACGTGAACTATGATTTTTGTTGTGTCTTTAAAAGCCAGTAATTTGAAAAGTTACTCCAAAATTCACTTGAGGATGAAATGGAACTAATGTCTTTAATTTAATTACAAAATTAAATTCAGAGCTTTCAGCTTCTATTTTTGAAACATGGTTAGAACTGTGTAGCGAAAAAAAACATATTTTAAATCAATTAATTTGTAATATATATATATATATATATATATATATATATATATATATATATATATATATGTACAGATGCTGAGGCAAGTATTAAGAAAAATTAAAACAATGAAGGAAAGAAAAGAAAAATATAGAATAACATTTGGAAATAGGATGGCATAGAAAAGTGAAAAGAACAAAAATAAATTAAGAAACAAGCAACAAAAATCAAGTGAAATACGAGAAAATTACAACAAATAATAATCAAAACTGTTCATTTCAATGATACCAATATACATTTAAGACTGGCAGGGTCAACCAGTACTGGTGGGCTCTTGGATGAAAATCAGACTATGAAAGATTTGGTGACATCAACATTCAAAATAGGAGTGGGTATATTTAACTGAAGCCATATTGGTCTTGGGATAGAGGCATGATGGGATTGCCAAATTCAGACCTTCCTTTTTTTTAATTTTTTTACCCTGTTTTACATTTCTATATTTTTAAATATTTGTGCCACTTATCCACTTTGTTGGAAAATCATCAAAAAAGCCCAATGTCAGCCTTATTATTATTAGTTCTAGATAAATCAGCATCGACTCTCTCAAAGCAAGATCACATATGTATTTCAAACATAGGTATTTCAAATATTTATCATTTAGTATCATTGTCCTCTCAATTAATTTTCGTTCAAACAATTTACATTTCGTATAAATGTTTTGTGTATAATTATTTTCAAACAATTTTCTCAATATGGTTATTTGCCAATGGTAAGTGATGCCTGCCTGAAAAGAGAATTCAACTCCAATTCCTGCCTAGATAGACATTTCCTTGAAAATTTAGTTTGAGCTGAGGTTTAGTGATTTTGTGAGCTATTATATTTCTTCATACAAACAGATTGCACAGCATCTAGAATTGCATTGCAAAGTTAATTTTGTTGTTAAATTGGAATTCACCAATGTAAACCACTCTCTTCAGAATTCTTCACACGTTTTCAATCAGAGTAAGGTCGGGTGAGCAAGCTGATCATTTCATCAAACGAATGTCTGTGAAATCCATTTTTATTTAGATATTCATTAGTTTTCTTCAACAAATATGGTGGAACATTGTCATGCATAAAAATAAACTTCTTTCTGGAAGTGCTTGGCTTCTTGAACCTTAGCTCCAAGTCATATTTGGGCAGGAGCTGCCCAGATCTCACTTTCCAGTTTTGATAGAGTTCAAAAGTGATTCCAATTCCTTGTGGGAGAAGATTTTCCATACTCCAATCTCTCTCTCTAATGGGCAGGATGTTGTGAGTCTCTTACTGTTCTATCACTATTACCATGGAAAGTGCTTGGATGAACTGCATCTCCTGGTTCCACCACGTCTGACTTTCATGTCTATGACACACTATGCCACTTCCTAGTATCAAACCTCCCACATTCCCTCTGTATTCCATTCGCAAGAAGGAAGTACCACTCAGCCACTCAAACAACTTCTTCCCATGATTCAATGCTCTATAGTACAGACTCTGAAAAAGTGAAACATTTTTTATTCATTGTGCTTGAACTTGATAGGATATGAGACAAGCAATGAAACAAACTGAGGAAACAGAATTATTATAAAAAACAACAAAAACTGCTTGTAAGTCTATTTGTGCTGACTTCATTTTGTATCTGAAATGGAAACAAAATAATTCCTAAGGAATTAATGGATTGTTTCATTTTTAATCAGACATCAATTCTTAAAAGCTTTCTTGAAGCTTTCTGAAATCAAGTCAGAAATAGGATTCAACTTTAAATAATCTACAAAGGGTTGATAAGCTGTAAAAAAAACAAATCAATCAATCATTCAAATAGCTTTTGCTGAGTCACTTCCAGCTACTTAGTGTTGGGTCCTAGCATGAATAAGTAAGGCATTGAGGAGGCACGGTGGAGTAATGGATAGCGGCTTGGATTGAGGAATCGGAGAGCCGAGTTCGAATTCCAGTCGAATCCATTACATTCACTTACGTGCTAACACCCTTGGGAAAGGTGTGAATCCTCTTTCTTCTCCCTCCAGCTATGGGTAAATAGCAGGACAGACTGGGTTCTATAGCCTTGGATGGCAACTGGTCTAGGAGAAGGAAAATTCTGAATTCAAACCTGCTCTTAGAGGAGGGTGAATGGAGTCTCTCTGAGCCTTGGTTGGCAATCCATTTAGTGTTGGTGTCACAATAAAAACACCCTTGATAGCCCTAGCGAAGCATCAAGAATTCAGCTATTTGACAAGATTATGAACTACACCAATCAAAGTATTGGTGAGTTCAATCTCGGCTGTGGCCACAAGATGATGATGAAGGCATTGATTATACTAGATGAGAGAGAAAGGTAGAATTTACAACAGGTAATGCTATGGACTGGATTTAA